TAACGTAACTACTAACTAACTACGTATACTAGAAGATAAACGTAACGTAGGTTAGGTTTTGTTGTAAGACTACACGTGTGTGTGTGTGTGTGTATATATATATATATATATATATATATATATATATGACTATTTTCTGATTGCCATGGACTGTACATCTACTTAGTCCAAAACTAAAATTGTAAACGGAAATACAGCAAAGAAAATATACACATTTCAAATCTAGGACAACTTTCAGTCAAAAGATCTGGGTAATCCAAATCTTTTGACCTGGATTACTGAGATCCAGAAATATATAAATATATATGTATGTGTATATATATATATATGTTATTATTCAACTGGCAGTTCTATACTGGCAATTGTGTTGCTCCCATACATTTCATTGTTAGATCTGTAAGAGGGAGAGGCAAAATGTAGACCAAGACCTCATTCACTGAAGTGTTTAAGCAGTTATTCATTGCTCAGGCCTTAAGTTTTCAAAAACATAGTTAGGCTAGGCTATCAGTTAGACTGAAGAAGACACATGAAAGTGTTGAAACTTGTGTCCATATAAATTTGTGGTTGTTCTGTAATAGTGGTTCTAAGCTTTATTTTAGATGACATAATTGGCTAACATCTGTTTTAAATAAAACAGAATGACAATCGTTCACAAGTTTTTGCCAGAGGGTGATGTCAAAGCATTATGTATGTTTTATTTTTCAGAACTGTAAAACACTGAAATAAATTTGACCATTTAAAGCTTACAACCCTAGGGTTGTTAACTTCATCCAGGAGGTCAGTGGAAACAGATATTCCAAAAATATGAGATCATTTTATGTCCTTTTCTATTCAATAAATAAATATAAATATATATATAGAAAATCTAAATGTGGTGGTAATTTTCTGCTTTAAAAAGGTTTTCTATAAATAGAAACATGATTCACTTAGATATACTTGTGTCAGTCTATTATGATCTTTGTAGACAAGACTATTTTAATTTTCAATTTGTTCTAATTATATTTTTACAGAGGCCCTGCCAATGAATGGTATGATGCCCTATGTATACATCTTCGTAATAGCCGCAATGCACGACGGTGGTTTGCAAATGCAGCTTTATTTGCTCATCCCCAGCGATTTTGTGAATATCTCTTAGAATGTCCAAGTTCGGAGGTACGTTGTAGAAGACTTATGATGTATTTCTGACAAATTCTGTATATGTTATGTATTTTTTACTTCAGTGTGTTTAAAGTATGTTTCATTATTTAAAAACAACCAGTTCTCATGACAGTTCATACATTTTTTGAAAAATTAAAATCCAATAATTCATAGTATTTACTGGTAGTACCAGATGATTTTTTTCCCTCACTATTCTTTTATGAATTAGGTCCGTAGTGCCTTTGTGAAGATCATAGTGTTTTTGGCTCATTTTTCTCTTCAAGATGGACCTTGTCCTACACCTGTACATTTTACCTGTAAGTTAATGGGCTGCTAGTTTTACTTGCTCCTTACTTAGCTATTAAAATCCTTTCTTTGTTAAGCTAATATATTAATATCAGTAAATGTAAACATCATGAGTCAATGAAATTTACATTTAATGTCATCAATATTTTTTATAGTTATTACTTTTTCAATAGGCAGACCTTCATTGGGGATGAAGAAGGAGGTTCTGCCTTTAAGGTGCTCAGATTTAAGGGATTTCTAGTTCTTTGATGTATATGTACTTCTGGAGCTACGTCACTTCTTAGTATTGTGTTAAGTGTTATTTCAAGTACTACATTTACTCAGTTTTAATTCTTACATGTGTTTAATGTTTATTGAGAATACCTAGATATTACTTTATACTTTTAGCAGAGTTCGTCACTCTTAGACTTAAAAGTCATTCCAGAAATTTTGATTTGAATGTAGTATATAACTTTTGATAATTAAAGAATTACATTTGTACTTGCTTTATTTTGTACTTTCTTTTGTATGATTTCTAAACTTTTCTTTCTTTGTTTTTATTTAAAATATATGAACTCGTTTTTATTAACTACAGCCCCTCCACCAGATCCCAATGCATCTTTGTCTGATCACCTTCTACAAGCTGTCCTCTCCTTGCTGAGAAAAGAAGTGTCAGAGTATGGTCGACATTTGACACAGTATTTTAGCTTGTTTGTGATGTATGCTTCTCTAGGAGCAGCAGAGGTATAATGTTTCACATTAAGTAGTAATTTGTAAAGATATTTGCCAGTGTATGTTCTTAGAATACTGCTGATATAGTGTGATTTTTTACACCAATGATTGATTTAATCTTTTAAGATAACTGAGGGTGTATGTCATCATTTGAAGTGTTCTTCCATCATAGTATCAATTTTTTGGAGTGTTTTTTTTTTACACTGGTGAGCATTTTTTTTATGAGCTGAGGCTGTGTGCCAAAGTGATTGATATTCTAATCCACATTGTAACATTGTCTCTCAAGAAATTAGTAGTATAGAATTGATACTTTAACTCTATATACTTTTTTCTTATTGCCTTGTTCACTGATGATCTATATATATACACCTGGAAAAAAGTTAAGCACCCCCAAATATTTTTCAGGATTGCTTATTGAAAATAAGGTTTAATTTTCATGATGTTGAGCAATGTTCATAATTTCAAACATAATTAAAAGGATGTGAGCGTTCAGGTGTGACATTTAAATCAGGCGCGTTTTTTTTCCCCCTACGTGCAACTTGCTCCCTTCTTCACGTCCAATATGCACTATTTTC